AGATTTCTGAGTCAGTCAGGCTTTACTAGCGTAGCCAGAGATTTCTGAGTTAGTCAGGCTTTACTAGAGTAGCAATATTTCTGAGTCAGTCAGGCTTTACTAGCGTAGCAATCCGTGGAGCTATAGCTTAGCTGTTCTGGGAGTCTAGCTAGGTGTTGGAGAATCTGCCATAGAGATTTCGGTCAGGCTTTACTAGCGTAGCAATCCGCTACAATGCAATCCGGTCAGGCTTTACTAAGGTAGCAATCCGTTACAATTCTCAACGGTCAGGCTTTATTTAGGGAGCAATCCGCTACAAGTCTACAAAACAATATACATAACTTGGTCAAATGCCCATACTCACTTATCGCTTATTATTATTAAGTCGTATCATTTGCATCTTTCTCAATAATAACGAGAAATAATTTTCAATTTTACCTCAAGAGTCAGGGCTAATGCTAGATACTTAAAAAATATTATTTTGTCGGTTTGAAATAGCTCATGATAAAAGTGATCTACTAAAAATAACGATCGAATTTTTTTGTAATATTTTAATTGGTCAGTGCGTTTGCAAAAAAATTTAGTCAATAAAAGTGCTTAACGAATTTCGAAAGCAAAATTTGCTTCGTGGGTAAGTCGCTTAATTACCAATTAGCTAATACCTACTTTCCTATTTAATTTCTAGCTAATTTATTTTTAAAATCATCTTACCTTAAATTAAGTTCGAGACCAATTAGAAGCGAATGTTTTCTGACTTTCTGTCTCCAAATCTTATATCCAGAATAGGAGGTTAGTTTCAGAATTTGCAATTAGAAAAGTGTCGGAGTTTAATGACTAAAAGACAATTTTTTGTGCCAACAAAATTCCACTGACTACCTAAAGCAATATGTTTGGCACATTTTAGATTTTAAAATGGTGATTTTGATTGAACAAGGTGTGCGATAGACTTACTCCCACGTGGTGCGCCCTAGGCAACGTATACTCATATGACAAAAAAGTCTATAAACCGACAGTTGACTTCTCACTTCAAACTACCATTACCCCATTATTTGTCTTTTCTCTACCTATGTGTTTGTCCCTTGCATCTTTGAAACACTCTTCTGTTCCCCCCCCCCTCCACCTCTCGATTTTTTTCACTTAAATTCTTCAAAATTAGTTAAGCTACATCGAAAGTAGCGAGAACACAGTAGGTATCGTGTGGTGAGAGACCTTTCCAAATGCACAGACGCGTCATTCGCCCAAAAATTAATCGCAAGTTAACCGGAAGGACTCCCACTTGATCGGTACGCGGTTCGTGCTCTCATTTAAGCAGGTTTCAGAGCTCACTAGTTCCCTATTGTCAGCCTCAGTGGAACTATATGTTCCGCATTGTTTAGAAAACCCGCAATTATAGTTTAAAGAATCAGCTCTTCCTCTCTACAATTGACGTGTCGGGAAAAAATACAGGAGAACTTCACAAGTAAGGGAAAGAAATATCTAAAGTTGAAATGAAAGGTGTCGGTGAAGTAGCCTACAGTTTATAATTAACTGTTTAGATTGTTCCCTTTGTCTCTGTTGTATGAAGATAAATTCACCAGCAGCATTATGCGTCTTAGTGGTAGTTAGCAGCCCTTTCTAACTTTGGAAGGGCGAATAACCTCTCCCTCTCCCCCACCCCTCCTCTCTGGCGTGTCCCTACAAGGTTATGACTTCTAACTCTCCATAACCGTCCCGTTTCACTTAAATTGCCAGTGTACTCTTAACTTCGCACGTTTCATCGCCAAAGTGCCGCCTGCAAAATGCGTGTCTATTTCCACTTAAAAACGCGTTTGCCATTTGTGTGGCGTGTTCTTAGGTTCCACGGTCTAATTCTGGCTCAGTAGATCAAATAATTTGTAAACGCCCCCTGAATTGATGATATCGATTCTTGCTACTTCAACTTAATAACTTGAAGAAAGAGTAGAGAATTTCAATATACTCAACACTTAATTAAACTGAACCAATGTTTTCAAGATGGGGTGTGCGATAGACTTGCTCTAGGTGGTGCACCCTGGGCAACGTATACTCATACGGCAAAACAGTCTATTAATCGGCAGTTGACCTCTCACTTCAAACTATCATCACCTCACTCTACGCCATATTCGAATATTTTCACGGTACTCACCTCACCTTTTTTTCTACCGTTGTGTTTGTCTCTTACATCTTTGAAACACTCTCCTGTTTCCCCCCCCCGTCTCGACTTTTTCCACTTTGATGTTTCTTCCCCTCTGTGAAGCCTGAAGTCAACGAAAGGACTAATGATAACCATCAAGACGCCTGCCATTTAATATAAATAAATAAATGTTTTCAAGATTTCGTCAGCTTTTGGAGTATCAAGACCATCAACGTTGTTCGGTATTAACATTAGTGTACTTTGGTGCTAGACAAATGTTGAGATTTGGGATGATATTCCTCAAATTGGCACTTGAAGACGTTTTAGTGGAGTAGAAGTGAAAAGCTCTTGCTGGGTTTCGGCTCATTTTCTTGCACGACTTCGATTTCTGAAACCGACTTTGTCGGATGCTTCATCCACTACACCAGCGGGGCGTTTTTTTTAACTTAATTGAACAATTAATTTCCTTACAGTACTTCTATTGCTATTTTTTTCTGCAGTGAATGAAATTTCCACACCACCAGCCAATGAATCAAAATATTCAGCTGATGTGTGAACAGCTGTTGCAGGATTGTAATGCTTGAAGAGAAGCCTTCATTGTTAAGCAACTTTTTAAGCGAGATTGGCCATGAGAACCAAGAGGCTTACTAACTTCACGTGCAACGTCTGCATTTTATATATCGCGGAATTAAGGTCCTGACAATATCATGTTAATCACAACTGCTGATCAGACGTAATGATTAATGCTTGACCTAGAAAAAGGACAGATCACATTGTGATTTCTAGTTGTATTTTCCGTAAGCATTCCTCCATCTTTGGTAAAAAGAGATACACTTTATCATTAGTTGCCAAAGAAACCAGCTATATTTTACCTTTGTTCGTGTAAGAACAAACCCTTATTCTTGCTAACGCGAGATCCACCTGAAGAACATCACCAAATTCATCTTCGTTTGGTTATAAGCATTAACCATATATTTGAGTTTCAAGGAAACCAATCACTTATAATGATTTTTTTATTAGGCGAACATGTTTTCCAAGTCAGCCGTTACAGTGCTATGAAGGTACATGGCAATAGATGACAACAGTGACCTAAATTCGTCACGTCGGTTACTCTTCATAATCAAATATTTACTGCATGGGGTGTGCGATAGACTCACCTCCACGTGGTGCACCCTAGGCGAAGTATATTCATAAGGCAAAAAAAGTCTATTAACCGACAGGTGAATTCTCACTTCAAACTACCATCACCCAATTATTTGCCATATTTGACTACTTCCACAGTACTCACCTTACCCTTTTCTCTACCTTTGTGTCTGTCTCTTTTACGTCTTTGAAACACTCTTCTCTTCTGTTCGCCCCCCCTCTCGACTTTTTCAATTTGATGTTCTTCCTCCCCTCTGTGAAGCCTGAAGTCAACTTAAGGGCTAATGACAACTACCAAAACGCCTGCCATTTGATACAAATAAATAATTACCGCTGTTCCCCTCTACTTGTTCTGAGTTGAGTTGAAATGAATGAATTGAGTGATAACATAACCGGTCATTCAAGTAGATCGTCTAATGGCTAAGTTCTGCACACGGGAATGTATTACAAGCTCAAAAGTACTTTTAATTCAAATTAAGTTTGATTGTTGATGGCATAACCTCACTAGAGCCTTCAAAACAACTCCTTCCTCTCTTGCTCCTTCCTTTGAGTGCAAATAAGTTGGACAAGATTTAAGGTACCGCTGATGCTGCATCGACCCCACCCAATATCGGGCGTCACATCATGATAAATAAGATCGCTGTCGATCAACAAGAAAATTTACCACTTTAGAACCCCTCCCCCCAGGGGAAAAAAGACAAAGTGGAGTATTCGAAATGCGACATTCCACGTTACTCTCCGTCTATCTCGGCCCACAACCAGAAGAGAAAAGGAGGCAGTAGCAGTGGTCTGGTGATAGGTTGAAGGCAACAGGAGTTGTAGAAAAAAAATAACATACAAAGCAGCAGATTGTGAGAGGGGGGGGGTGGGGGTGGGCAATAAAAGAGGGGGAGGGGGGGGGAACAGTTGCGCCAGTGGGAATAAATAGAAGGGAGTAGAAGGAGGATTTGTGTGCGACTAAATTGTCTGTTGCGGCGCTGGTGGCGGAGGCATAAGAGCTGAAAAGTAAGCGGAGAAAATGTAAAAATTATAACTAAAATACGCACACACACACACACACGCACAAATCGATTTCCGATTTCTTGACTTATTCATTGATTCACGCATCAACAATAAAACACTGGACGAAACTACGCTTGAAGATGATCCAGAAACACAATCCCCTTGCCTGATTGGCATCATCAATACAATATAACACATTGCAACCGTACATGCATTGATTAATGTTGCTTGGAGATCAGCCAGCACTTTCAGAATCTGGGGGGGGGGGGGGTTAGGAAATCGCAAGCCAACGTTACCACAATAAACTGATAGTTTAACATGTTTTCTTTCTCTCTTGTTAAACTTGTCAACTTAGTAGAAATTAGACAGACAAAAATAAACCGAAACTAAACTTTAAGCAAGTGACCACGTCATTCAAGGCACTGAATCGCCAGTTGCCTGCAAGTAGATGGATAAGTGGCGATGAGGCACGCCGAAGAAATGGCTATTTATATATATACATATATATATATATGTGTGTGTGTGTGTGCGCGCATATGCCTATGGGACCGCATGTCGCGACTTGTCACGTCCGCTTGTGGCGTGAGCGATATGGTCATTTCTTCCGCCCTTTTCTCCACTTTCTTCTCCCTCCAAGTGAACGCCTGCATACACCTCCAGTAGACTCTTTATCAATTTTTCTTCCATCTCAAATCATCGGCCCTACACAACTGCTATTGACCGTTTTCATCAAATGAAGTACTTCCTATGAACCATCCATTCTGCTAGAAAATGTTGAAGTCGGAAAAAAGAGAGCTTTAAACTCTTCAGCAATCCTAAGCGAGGAGAAGTTAAGTATAATTTGAGGTTGAGAACTTAACGAGTGTCAACTAGTCAAACCCCAGTGAACAGGTCTGACAAGTGCAAAGAGAAAAAAAGTGGGGAGCTTTAGCTCCTCAACACCCTTAGGGGATCGTACGCGGTCCTCCCTCAAAATAAGCTCCATTGGTACAGAGACTCGTAACAAAAGCGGCGCGATTGACCTTTGAAACATGCTAACTACGGTATCAACACCCTTCGCCCGACGCACCACTAAAACACATCACGTCGGCGGCATCAGTCCGCTGCTGTGAGACGGGCGTTAAAAAATTAAATGGCAAATGGGAAGGAAAAAAGGACACTCACGTTCTTGAACTGCAGATTGTCCTCGTAGTATGTTCATGTCAATAACCCTGCAATTTACAGCATAAAGAGGATTAGAAAACTTGGACCTTCCCATAGAAACTCAACAAATAACCTTTAAGAGAGAGATGGGTGGTGAAGATGCCCAAATTAGCTAGAACTTACTCAGGCTTGTTGTTTTGTTTACGGAGATGCCGACGGCGAAGGTAGATCGCCACACCCGTGATAAGTGCCAACAGAAATAGAATTCCGACTGAAGTAAGAATAAAAACAGAATAGCATGTTGGAATCACTGATCATAGTCTGGAGATTACATGTCTTCCGTCCATTTTATCCAATCAGAATTAGCAAATAATCACATTACAAGACAATTTGAAAGGGGAGATTTGCAAGTTTTCCAAGTTTAAATTTATGGAGAGGAGGGGAGAGGGAAGAGGGCAATTACGCAATCATGAAGATTCCGAATGCAAGGAGTGAAGAGTTACCCGAATCTCAATATCTACAGGGCTTCCGCAAAGTTTCCAATGTTGAAATCAATTTGAAATTTGGTTAAAAAGTAAAATCTTAAAGAAATATTAAAAGAAAAAAAATCCATCCACTGACTTTTTCATTTTTTTTTCGCCCTTTAAAAGCTTAAGGATAAGGGCACTTGACGAGCATAAGCTTAGCTTAGTGGGAGCAGAAGTTGCCTTTAATTTGAAGGAGAAATATAGTCCACTAATTCAAGACGTCCACTTCACTTGAATTCTGGCCTCACCTAGTTTTGCCATCTCCTTATTTAACCGAGGTATGCTAAAGCGTTCACTGTTCTGAAGTTCAAGTACACTGAGGAGTGGATGATCGAAGCATAATCAGAATTCAATAGTTTGATTGGTTGGTCAAGATCTTTTTTTTCATTTTATTATAATAGCTCGGAAATAGCCATTGCCTTCATCTTCTTTAATATAAATCACTAAGGTTTACTTAATAAATTGTGGAACTAATACTAGAAGCCTGCATTTGTGAGTCGCTATATTTCATATATTTGTCCTCCGAGTGAAATTACCATCTTGTCTGGAAATGATACAATCTGTGGAGTGCACAACGGTGTCACCTCGGTACAAAGCAATCTCATGCGCGTTCAGACAGGCCCGAAGATGCGGCGTGCTACTGCGCGTAGGGAGTAAGTCCGGCCGTGAGCAAGGCGGACACACAGCCAACCGCCAATCGATAATCCTCGCGTGTTCTAGCAAACCCGCAATTGTAATTTAACGACTAAGCTCCCTGTCTGTACACGTACCACGCAAACACACACAGCCCAAATAAACGTGTTCCACACCCTACTTCTCTTTCCTCTATGGCTTTGCGGTAGATTGGCTAGCTCTGGGAGTCTTTCCAAACATAGGAGAATCTGTCATAGGGATTTCGTACCACTGACAAGGCATATTAAGGTAGTAGTCCGCTACAAATACGGTTCCTCAGGCAAATAATTCACTCCAAAAAAAACAAGTAAGGAAGTTCGACTTAATTCTCTCCCGCACTGTCTCTCCCTCTCTTTAGAACGAACTTAAGCATAATAATAACACTATACAAGGATCGCGTACCTATAATAAGGATAATGAAGAGAGGTAATGGTAGATTTCCTATTCGTCCGGTACCTGAGGAGAGAAAACAGTTGCATGAGATGAATGAATAGGCTTTCCAGGTTGAGGCATTGAAAGCTTACATAGGTAGTTTGACTCATCGGAATTGTCAAAACAATTATCGACGCCGTCACAGGTGATACTGTCGGGAATGCAGTGGTCTTTGGTATTGAAACACCGGAAATGATCCGCCGGACAGCTATAAGAAGTCCCAAGATCTACAAAGCAGGTAAAGACGTTTACTACTAGAATATAAGTAGACATGATTTTGAAATAGGGAAAAAATGATGAGGATGAAATTCAGATAATGTTTCGAATTGTGGCACTATTTTAAGCTTTAGGGAAGGTGTTCACTGGAAAAATTGCCTAAACACACAGGGCAAATGCTTAGCAATATCTCTGCCAAGAGAAGGGAACTCAATAAACCAGCATTGTGATTCGCGAACATCAACTGAGGCACCTAAGCTATTTCTTTAAATCTAGACACTGTTTGCGTCTTAACTATTCCAATTTTCTTTGGCAGCAAACCAAAGCTCTGCCAGCCTAATTGTTTACGGAAGTTTGGCTAATTGTTTTTTTTAAGAAACAATTATCCAAAGCGACTGAGCCACTTAACAGTCTTTTTTGCTGCTATTAAGGGATTATTCACCAGTGTAGCACAATTCTCGGTGCAAAATGCAGTCTAGCAACCGGATTGTCGAGTTCAAAGATTTAAACAAACAGAAGCGACTTCCAAAACTCAAAACTACAGTTAATACAATGGAGCAAATTCATTAGGAATATATGTCCGTCCTTGCACAAAATGAGACAGTAAATGTCCCACCAACTTCCGTCCAGTAGGCACGAATGGAGCAAATTGCAGATATTAGTGAAATAATCGGCGGGCAAAACCAATTAACTGAAAGTAAATTTTATCGCAACAGAAAAATTATTTTAGAACTTTTACGTATTCATTCTCGAAACTCAATGAAATACAATTAAGCAATTAGTTTCTTTCTGCAATCATTGTAAAAATTAGAAAACAAATAATTGAGTAAGAGAAAATATCATCAACAGTAGACAAAAGGCTTATCACCCCGAGTCCAAGTCCCCATTGCCATGAAATGGGCAAGTTACTTTGGTGGGGGGTTTTTTTGCAAAGTTACTACGTCAATGCTTAAAATAGCCTGACTAATGACCTAGTACCGGGAAGAGGTTTCGTTAAGAGGAATTTTCGCAACGCAACGCCGTTTTAAAACACGCCCCAATAAACAATAACTACGGTAAATGTTAACCGAGTTTTAAAAGTTCAAGAAAGCGATTTTCGGCTAATTCAGCAAATTAATGACCGACTTCCATGAATTGGATAATAAACTGACTCGCGCACACTTGGGGTTCTATTCGTCTTTTACACCCACCCTCCTTCCCCTCCCCCCCTTCCAAAATGGAGAGACGTACAGTATGGAGTGACGGTGATTTCAAAGGAACTGATTTTCCCTACGCTGCCGGAATCGAATCCAACCATTAGCTTTCGCCCAGGCGTCGAAGTCCGAATTACCGTGTCGACGAAAGCAGCACTATCGTTGCATGTGGCCTTGGCCTGGAAAAAAAGAAGAATCGTTGTAGGTCAGACTCGGGACTTAATATCCCCCACGTATTCGCTGCAAATCAAGTCGGTCAGCGCTATTGGCGCCAAAAGAAACCTCTAAATGAGTTTAAATTAACGGAATTCGTGCAAGTTAGAACTAGGAATAAAGACAACTATGATCAGGTGTTCATGAAATCAGCGGAAGCATTGTAATCTGTCAACGGCGCCACTAAACGTAAATCTAAGCTACAAACAACCAGTTGCACACACATTCTAGCGCTAATAAACTAGCAAATCTAAATGAAATAATCGGAAAATTGTGGAACCATTGTAGGAATGAGAAATAAGATAGAAATGGGGAATTAATCGGAGAGATTGCATCGACTAGAAAAAAGGAATTTGGTTAGGAGAGTATAATTTAAACTATCTTTCAAATTTTCAACTAAAATAGAAGTTGGAGGACAAGATTAAATCGATGATAGAGCTATAACAAAAAGTTTCGAAAATTACATGTCAATTTTGACTGCAAGACAAGGGCTTTAATAAGACGTTACAAACCTAGTTTGAAAATTCCTCGAACCAGTTTAAACAATAATTGCCATTGTGAGTTGCTCACTATAAATAAAATAAATATAAAATATACCTTCATAAAACAATAATGTGATTAGCCAAACTTAAGTATTTTAAGCACATGATAGTAGCTCATCAGGCCTTAACTAATTGGACAATGAAAAATGCCCATTAACAAATAGAAAAATATGTTTCATTCAGAAAAGTGGCATTTAGATTGAATTGATGAAATAACTGAGTAAAGTTTGCAGAAAGTTCTTTGCTAAATGTAGATCTCTATCCTGATGCCTTCAGTCTTAGCAAGAATCTCAACTGAAATTAAGTAAAAGACCCTAGAGTAAGAGTCGAGATTTTTGGATTTAAAAAAAAATCATTTATTATGTGCTACAGTAGCAATTAAAGCCAATAAGAGGAGGATTGTTGCACATAAATATCCCATCAAAAAAAGTATTAATAGACAACCTGAAAATTATAAATGATCGAATTACCAGTACATTAGCATCGCCGGGTTTATAAATACTGATAGCAGGGAAGTTGGCCGATTCTAATGTTTCATCAACCATGAGCGTTGAATATTCGGAGATGGTGAAGGTAGGACAGTTGCCCTGAAGGTCGAGTTTAGTTATCCGGATGGAAAGATAATAATCATTATGGGTGCAGTCTAGGTAGCATTTAACGCTACCACGACTACTTTCACTCGAGAGAACCACACTGTCAAATCGAATGGGATTTTGCGGACTCTGAAAGCACTCTAGCGCATTTACTTAAGAAATAATTTCTCACAAATAATTATATTTAATTACCATACTCCGTTCTTGAATCAACTTCTGTAGGTATATACAATGCGAATAATACAAGCAAGTAAAGCATCTTATTAAAAATTCTAAAACGTAAGAAAAAATGTACCCAGTGAGGAAAATAATTAGGCAATAATAGTAGGGGACAAAGCATAAAATTATATATATAAAAAGAGTTAACGAATATAATAAAACAATGCATTTCCCTTAAATAATGCATAAGGCGAAGATAAAATAACTTATTGATTATTTGTAAAATGGTTATACACAATAGACAAGTAGCAAAGTCATTTCCGGTTATGAGTAACTGTGTGAATCAAAACACTCGTCCAATTGAAATGAAGTTACCCTTGACCTAAGAGTTGAATCTATTGGAGTGATAAATTCAAACATGTATTTTGATTATTTATGATAATGTTTTTATCTTAAAATTTTAATATTTCATTCATTTAATAAGAAGATTCAAAATATTCCACATACTTTTGTTCCACTTTTGTAACATGGCTATGGCTCATTCTGCACCAAACTTGTGGTCTCCTATTTTGTAGAACAACTTCACAGTTGTAGTTCATTTTTGGTAAACTCTGAAGTCTCTAAAAACTAGACCGTAATTAATTATTGGACCGATTTTTCCTTACCCACAAATAACATTTTTATGTAGGTCTTTCGACAAAATCGATAATATCGCGTGGACACTAAATACATTTGTGACTTGGTCGTGAAGTTTTCTCAAGATGCCCAACAAATATGACTTCCTCAATGAAGATGCCTATGGTGATATATGTGCCAATCCATTCTTTGAGTGCAAAACTCCCGCCTCACGTGGACCATCACGAAGGCGACACAGAAGGCCGCTTGATGATGAATTTACCTTCCCCAACGAACCCTCAGCAAAGCTCCGAGCTGGTAAAAGACGAAGCACAGTGGATGCAAATGCAAAGGAAGTGCGTGCAAGTGGAATACTTAGGAATGATGGCACGAATAGAGTTCTGATATGTTCCTGGGGACTTATTGTGATATTAACTGGCTTGTTAATGTGGACATATAGAGGAAACATAACGTCTATGCTTGATTATAATTATTTAAAGTACTTTCAGAAATAAAAAGAGTACGTAAATTAGTTAATGTTCTTTTTAAAGGCACTAGTGAGGTAATTCTAAAGGATTTATTGCCTTCAATTAAAAATAGCACAAGAAGGACATTGAAGTGGAATTAATGGCGCACAGTTACTGAAGAAAAATATGCTCACATGCGTGACAACGGCAAATGTAAAAGGATACATCCTTGCAATTCTGATTAAGTAAATCCCTAGTATCTTCGTCTATACTCGTTCACTTTATTAATTAAGTGGGTAACTGATCTGTTATTTATCACTAAAAATGCACGCCTGGTACACATATTAAACAAAGACATTGCGAGCTGCTAGGAGAGAAAGAAGTGCAAATGAGCGCTTGGGTTCGTCCCTGCCTCTTCCTTCTCTGGCTCTAATCAGAACTTCTCGCAGGGAAGAAAACTTTATCCAATTTAAAAAAGACAAGCTTTCTGCATTCAATCAAATATATATATATATATGGTTGGGTCACACTTAAATATTGAATTTGGACTTTTTGCAATAATTGAGAAGATAAGTGATCTTGCATGTTAGTCGTGGTTTACAATTTTTGACATAACAAAGATGGAATGCCAGTAAATATAACATTATCAGAACTTCATAAAATCCCTTCACATCATTACTTTACCATTCCACAGAGATGACCGTGTATCCCTTTCCATTTCACGTTGGTTTGGTCTATTCAAACCATGATAAGTGGAGTTTATTCTAAAATTTCTTCTAGTATTGTTCGAGTGTTTATACTTCTGAACTGAAAAGAAAGCGCGACGCCCTTCGCAACACTGCTGATCAGACTGGAAGAATGGGCGTACAAACCTGGAGACGACAATCAGCTGTCCTAAGGCAAGCCATCTTAGAAGCTAAAAAACTTACTTCGACAAGTTCATCTCGAATATCAACTATCAAAGCGTTCGACAAGTTCATCTCAAATATCAAGTATCAAAGTGATATAGTTCATCTCAAATATAAACTATCAAAGTGATAGCCAACGCCAATTCCTGGGTAACCTCCAAAACAACAGAGAAAGACCCACGAAGAGAACCACACTTTCAAATTCCTGAGAAACCTGCAAAACAACAGAGAAAGATCCAAGAAAGAACCAATACGCTTGAACAGCAAATTGCTTACCACCAACTCTGAAATAGCTAACTAATTTCTGAGGTTCTATTCCCACAAACAAAAGAAAAACTCTTTTGTCAGAAAATCTTCAAGAGATTTCTAGAAAACCCTTTTGTCAGAAAATCTTCAAGAGATTTAAAGGCTTCTTGTAAGACAGTTTTGTGAAATTAAGGAAGACGCAACACCAAAAGTTTGGTGAAATTAAGGAAGACGCAACACCAAATGATGTGGTGCAATTAAGGAAGACGCAACACCAAATAATGTACTTACTGAACCATTGCAACTTTGCAAACTTAATGCTGCGATAAAACAGCTCAAGTGCAACTTTGCGAACTTAATGCTGCAATAAAACAGCTAAAGTGCAAAAAGTCTCCTGGCGAAGACGATAT